GTGCGGGTGATGGTGGTGGTGGTGGTGCTGTTGCTGCTGCTGCTGCTGGCGCGAGACCGTGCGCGCGAGTTTAAGCAGGTCCACAGGCACCACGGCGCCGGGACAGCGCTTCTCCAGGAACTCTTGGAAGCCCTGGACACCCATGCTTCGTCGGTGGGCAGATGATAAGAGTTGCTGCGCAAGCAGGCTAGGCGGTGATCTGGGCGCGAAGCAGGGGGCGGACGCGTGCGCACTCCGCGGGGGGCGAGGGGGGCGGGAAAAGGATTCCCGAGGGGAGGGGTGAAGGAGCAAGGGAATGAGGGCGGAGAGGGAGAGGAAACCAAGACTGGATTTCGGAGGAGAGGAAAGGAGAAGCAGACAAGACTCAGGAGAGGCAGGGATGATAAAAGAGACGATAGGTTCTAGTCGCTTCTGTATTTTGCTCCTTTCCGGCCGCTCTTTACCGCTTCAAAGGGTGTGAAGCCGCTTCCTTCCAGCTCCGGGAGCCATGTTGCCTTGCCTTCTCTATGGTACACGCTTTCTAGCTGGAGGAAGGCGGGTCGATAGGCATCATGGGAGTTGTAGTCGTCTCTGTAGTCTCAGGATGCAGTCGAGGAGCAAGACTATCACCCGTCAGGCTTTGCATTCATAGTCTCTAGAGGCGGGACATGATGATCTGTGTTTAGGATTTTCATTCCAAATCTGCATTTTACCGACTTGCTTCAGGCTATTTACAGTTTTCCCAGGGAAAGGAGTTTTGGGGGGAAGGAATGATGCATCATGGGAAAGGAAGTCGAGTGAATTGATTGAATTCAGCAAAAGTGAGCTAAAATTCCACTGGAAAGAGAATTTCTCCCTCAGTGGAAAATAATTTGTGTACATCATAATGACTGAGAAAGAACCTGCATGAAACAAAAATAACAACCAGTAACATTTCTATACCAACCCACTTACTTTTAGCTACTCTAATTCCTTGAGAAAGAGTTGTTGGTCCCAATTAGGAATGGCAAGCCTTGTGTTATTTATTTGCCCAGGGTAATGCATACACAAAGTGAAATTGAATATACATTGTCCCAAGGGTCTCTTTCGTCAGAAATTAAAGTACACAAATTAAAGTACAAGTTGGATCTTTTTTATATTCAGTGAGCTTCTTAGGATGTCCTGTGGCCAGGGGCTTTGTTTTCAAATATCATTGTGGATTAGTCTGTTGGGGAAGTTTTTCAAAATAGCCTCGTCTCTAATTTCAGACATGTAGATTCATAATAATCTTTTGAAAAATCTATTTTCAGGATGTTCCTCAGATAGATGGAGATAGAACCTGTCTTCTGTCTGGCTTTTAAGCGTATACTCTTCCCGCAGGAATAGAACAGAAACACATTTTTTTTTTTTTGTGCGGTTTTTGCTCT